TCGGTATTCTCTAATCAAAGTGAAATTAGAGAACAATTATGGAGTCATTTAGTAAAAGCATACAAGCCAAAAAACCAACATTTGCCCAGAATACATGGAATTCAGTAGGAAGCTATCTTCCTCAATGGTTGATGGAATCAAATGGAGAACGTCATCATAGCTCATTGATGTTTCCCCTTTCTTTTCATTAACACTACTTTTGTATATTATAAAGTCCAAAAAATTTTTGAAGTTTTTTGCACTGAGTTATAAAGTCTCTGCATCTCACTGATGGAAAGCCCATAGCAAATTCCAGTATCTTCAATATCAGTTCTGGAAAAAAAACTAACACCAACCATCCAGGACTGTTGTCAGATATACCACAAACACTGCTGTATCAAATACCAGCAGGTATACATGATTATACTGTCTTCCTAGCCTCAAAATGTACAAACTGATAAATTTCAAGAGTCTGACTGAACTGAAGAAACATAGTACAAAGCCTTTTATTACCTGATTAGCATTCAGATCCCATCCAGAGGAAGACCAAAATATTACTGGGGGGCATAAGAGGAGCTGGGGAGAGTTTGGGAAAACATTTTACAAAGCAACATCCTAGCAAATAGGTAAATTAATTAATCATCCTAGATAGGACGACATATACTTGCCTATTTCATCTTCAAAGACCACAGGTTTTATCTCAAGTGTAGGCATAAAAATAGCTGACACCTTAACTCACAAGATATGCACTCTGAAAATTAAGACCACAGATCGCACTGAACAATTATATGGGTCAAACCTGAAGAACTAGCATCACAAGGAAACTTGTTTTGATGATGCTAATTTACTATTAGACGAAGCAACTGCAGCTCATAAGTCAGGCTATTTTTGTATTATCACTGAGGGGGGGAAAGAAGGGGGAAAGAGGAGGAAGTATGTTATGTCTCACAGAAAGAAAATAAATTCATCTGCATATTCTGCTTCCTAAAACTTCCTAAAAGTCTAATGCAAATTTCAAATAAAACATCTTGTAAAATTTGAGAACTCTCTATTCTACTCTAATTAGAGAAAGCACGCAGAGTAGCAAGTTGTTGACACAGTACTCAGCATTTGCAAAGCGCTCACGCTGAACAATAAATAAATGCCTTGAGAGTCCTTCATAGCTTACCTCAGAGGACAAACCAACTGCTTGGAAAAAATATATATACATAAATGGCATCTCCAAGATCAATGGCTGTTCAGCTATAAAAAACATTTTGACATCCAAATCCCAGTAAATTTTTATTTAGCAGATTTATTATTGGCAATGAAGGAAATCACTCTTGTCTCTGTGAGATATATCTTAACAATTCCAGTGCAACAAAGTGTCAGCCAAGTATCTGCAATTCATTTTTCTTTCTTCCAGAAAAAGATTTGTATTACAGTAACCCTAAGTTGTGTTGGACAGTTGGTTTAAAAAACAGAACAAAAACTAGTGTGCAAATAATCAGTACCATAAAGAAAATACAAGCAATTATGGAATGTAAAGATTTTACTTCTAAAAAAGGAAGTGTGTCTTGCTACCTTAGGGTTTTATTGATGCTTTTAAGGAGGATGTGACTTTGACAAACAACTCTTCCACAGACATACATCAAATCTGGGGCTTTGTCAGTGAACTAGATAACGACAGCAGAAATTTCCATCTGTCTATATTCAGAATTCATTAAAAGTTGGTTTAAAAAGATTTTATTAAAATGTTCTGTCTTCATCCGGTCATAAATATTGTGATGTCAATTTTCAAATCAACATGCCAGAGTAACTCAGTTTCTTAACATTCTCAAATGGTTGAGATAACTAGTTATCAGAAATTACATTCAAACCACTTCATTTATGTTTTTGCTACAGAAGAACAAAATCCTGACCCCTTAAAAAAAAAAAAATGAAAATTGGACTAGCATTTTCCTCTGGAAAAAAAAAAAAAAAAAAGATTGCTACTACACTATCAGACAGAGAAAAGTGGCACTGTAAGAGCAGTTTCCTTATCTTGTCACTATTTTTTCTGTAATTCAGAAAAGCTTCTATTTCTTATGTGGACATTCTGCATTCTATGTGTACATAAATAACTAAGTTTGTCACTTATACTAAGATTTATATTCATACAAATATTAAAATATACCTGCTAATAAAAGCAGGCCTCTCAAAGAAAAAGCACTGAGGATCAGATTCTTAGGTGACATAAATTATTTATGTAAAAAAAGACAACAAAGGCAATCTTTAATATACGATTTACATGTTTTTCACAAGTTCTGTTTTGGTTTTTTTTGTGGGTCTTTTTTCCCCTCCCAAAAAAAACCACATTCAAAGTGTGTTATCAATTATTTTGTGTCTTATATATCAAAGTAACATATCTCTTCTCAATAACCATTTCAGGGACAGTCTGAATATTGGGCGCTGGCCTCTTCAAATTCTGTCTCATTTTACAAACTGAGTCAGTATTCTAAAAATCTAATTATCTCCTTAAAAGTCTGAAGATTTGAATGCGAATATGGGAAACACTTTTATGAGAAAAGACAGCATTACTGACAAGCCTACTGACTGCAGATTAATACACACTGTGCTCATACTCTGAGCATCTTCATGCCTCGGAAAGAATAGTCTAAATTTGTTCAGACAACCACCACCTTTTTAAGCGAATACCATCACAAGCACACAGTGTCAGTCTAGCTTCGTTTCAGAATGAAGTATCACAAATAAAGCCTTTTTTTTTTTTTTTTTTTTTTTTTTTAAATACTTCTTACTTAACTTACTTGGATTCACAAGAGAAGAAGAAAGGAGATGTGACCGAGGGTCAGTTACACTATGTGGAAGACAAAATGCTGAGAGGTTTTCATCTTTATTTAATAGATGATATTAACATATTTCTGACCTCATTACAGATCTGAGAAATAAGCTTAGGAAAAGAAAAAGTCAATTAAAAAGTACTGACCAAGTTTTTATGCAGTTAATTAAAACAGACATCAGCATTTACAATATATTTTAAATTGAAAATATTTTGTTTTAAATTTCTTCCTGAAGTAAAAGTCTGTAAGAACTAAAATATCCATCTAATATCATAATGTTATAATCTGAAGTAAAAATTCACAATAAATAATCCCTATAAAAATACTAAATGAAGTTATTTTTTTTTCTAAATGATTACATCATAAATGCAATCATCAGTAATCATTTTCTGTAGTGAACAGCTGTGACAGCAAGGTGGTCTAATTAGCCTTACAGACAGGCTGAACAAGTCAAGAATTTCCACATATTTCTAACAAGAAGTACAAATATTTAATCTCAGAGGAAAGAAATTACATAATCTACAACATTAAATTATAATTTGCCAGCTAATTAACTGTAAATAAAAACCAAGGTGAGGTTTAAGTGAAACTTTCACTATTTTGTCTTCCATAAGTATTAGTAAGAACTTTATTTACTAACTACAGCAATAATCTGTTTGAAAGCTTCAATTACCCAAATCTGGTTTAAAACTCCATCACTGACTATTTTCTCTTCACATCATGTAGGACTTACTAATAAAATACAGATAACTAAATTCATGAAAAAATTATTAGGCTTTACTAGTAGAAGAATCAGGCAATAAAGAACAGTCCCACATAGAACAAGAGGTAACCACACACGTGTATCCAACTGAAAAGAGAAATCAATTCTTTTTGCCCTGTGTGACACTATAGGTCCCAGACTAAATGTACAACCATTTGAAGTTTCCCTAAATCAATGAATGACATCAGCATAATTGTGGTCAGGATGGGATGTGTGAACTGGGGGGTGAAATCTCCCTCTCCTGCACCCTTGTTGAGCCAGCAAATGTTCAGTCCCCAAAACTGGGCTGATTTCAGACATTGATATCATCAGTAACTGCATCAGAAAGCATGAAAAAAGAGGGAGAGCACATACACACAAAAAACAGGGGTTGTTTTAATGCCAGCCAATCAAACCAAGTCTAAGAGATTACTTAAAACATAAAATTTCCAAATGCACACATTGTTTTGCATGTTATGCATTTTTCTTGATTTCTTTTCCCAAATAGAAAAAAAGAGGTATGTTAACAGAAGTAATAACTAAAATTTATAGCCAAAAATCTGAGCACTGGATGGAAGCAAAAATGAGCATTCGTTATTGAATGCAGTCATTAGCATTTCAAAAAAAACAACCCTCCCAAAGCTTTTCATCAGACTATGAAGCTGTTTTAACATAAAAGGTACATCCAAAATATCCACACGAAGTCTAAAGAAGCATTACTTAATATTGACAGATGCTCACAGTACATGAGTGCTGTCAGATCTTTGTAAACAACACACATATCCAAAATAGAGGAAATGAGCTTCAAATTTTATTTTTACAGCCTCCATGATGTAGGCAGGAATATGTGTTTGTATTCATAGATGTTTAAAGTGTGCATGAGTGGTATGAAATGTATTCAATATTCACAATGCCAGTGAAAACAATCAATATTGTGGCAATGCACTTTTTTCTCTACGGAACTCTGTAGCCACTTGGTAGCAGAATGCTCTGCAACCCAGGAGAGAAAACAATCACAGCAGAGCAGGGAACCTGCCACAAAAGGGAATACTGGTATGTAGCTTCCAAACTTTACTAATGCAGTGCATTTCCATCAAAATAAAATCTGCTTTGGGAGACACAGTGTATGTATGGACGTGCATACTGATTACAGGAACATCACATGGTCAAAGATTACTACCTTAAGTATGAAAAAATTCTCAGGAAACTCAGAAACAGTAGAGAAAAAGTGCAAAAACAAGGTCAAGCTTTTATTCACAGTTTGGTCATTGACTGTTGATGATTTGAGGGAAGTCACCTCACCACATCTTATGAACAGCCTAAAAATTAAAACAGACTTAAAACTGCTCACCTATTTAACGCAGCTTTGAAATACATTCATGAAAAGTGACATCTTTTCCCATGATACAGTCAAGTAGCATCACTAAAAAATGCACTATGAATACATTAAAAATCCATACCTTCTCCAGGATTGACTGCTGCTGGCAGGCTGGTCCAGTCTATGGTCCAGTCAGGGCATGGATGAGGAGAAAACTTCGCTTCAATACCCCGCTCCTACGTAAAAGAAAAAAAAAGGACCTAATCTTTTACCCACTGAGACTGGTAGTAAAATTCCCACCAGATCTAACAGCATCAGATCATGCTACATAGCTTTCAGCCCAAATGAAACTTACAGGCAGGTGACTACTTTTTGTGGAGCTTAAACTATGTACATCTGTCATTTTCACAAAAGAGTCCTGTTCATTCTTTTTAGGAGAGGATAGTAGCATCTATGCAACAAAGTAAAATAAAGTATGGAAAACTATGGAACACAATAAAGAGTTTTCTTTAACAAAACTCATTAGCATCTCAGACATTCAAAGATCTATGGAAGTAACAACAAAAAGCAACAACAGAAAAACAAAATACTAAAGCTAAACAAACAATATCATTTGTATTTTTTTAATACATACCTTAAGATGAGGAATATAAAGATCACAAATAAAACAGAAGGCTACTTTGGATGCTAAGAGCTATTTACAGGGCACCCATAGCACATTTACTCAATCCCTAAGCAACCAAATATAATTAACAGAACAAAAAGATTAAAAAAAACCTTCTAAGTCAATGCATATCAGATAGAAGACAGACAAAATATATTAGATCATTTAAGGCTATCAAAGACTTTGCTTCTGTGATTCTAATAAATTTCACCTGTTGTAAAATAAGTATAATTAAGATAAATTAAGATATCCAAGACAGCTGATTGAAAATCTTAAATTACCATTAACTTAGTCATAGTTGGCCTTGGACCACCTATAAATTGACTGTTCTCATGCTCCTCTTCAAAATCATCAGGAACTGGAAAAAAGTCTTCTAGGTGTTTCTCTGGAGAAGGTATCAACTCTGGAAGCTGGAGAAGCTGCATATTGCATTTATCAGCTGCGTTCTTCACTCCAGGTATTTGCTGAACTCTCTGATACCAGCTGGAGATCAGGGGTAAGTTTACCAGATCTTTGTCTTGCTTTTTGCTGTAAACCTAAGAAAAAAAAATGGAAAGGTAAGTTGCTATTGTAAACTTCTTCTAACAAGAAACATGGAGAAGACATAACCTGTAGGCAATGAGTATAGCTCCCTGTTAAATCTCAAGATGTTTACTTACTGTAATACTGCAAAAATCCAACTAGTTAGGAGCTCTGCTTGTGGATAGTAATGCTATTTAAATGCTATCTGCAATTTCTACATAATAAAAATATTTCTGTGAATGACTTTGATCATAACTTCAGATAGTAACACACAAACATTACTTAAATAATACTGTTTATTTGTTTTTTTTCTAACATGGGAATAATTCATTTTAATAATCACAAGGCCTAGTAGTTAGCAATGAATGTTGGACTTAAAGCAAAGAAAGAAAATAAAAACTGGAATCTTGAATGTAAAACAAACAAAATCCTAAATCTGAATATTATGTATACTATGTATACGAACATTATATATATACTCAAATCACATTTTTACAGGAAGGCCATCTAGTTTTTTAAAAAGTAATGCTTCTGATAAACTAAAGTAACTTCTGCCTGTGTTCCAATATGTTATAGAAGGCTATATGAAGGTCCTTACCTTACTGTTTTTTCAATTTTTTAAAATTCTCATAGTTCTCTACAGTGCAGCTGAAATGTGTAGTGAAACTGAAAATATTCTCTACGTACCTATTGTCAGGAGCTGGCTTTACCAAGTTTTTGTGCTACATGTTAAATCAATGACTTCTGAAAGCTCAATATTTAAAAATTACATAGAAAAAAAATTCATATTTAAAAAAAGCAATATGATGATACCTTACAAATGCAGAAATAGATCTTGAATAAAATGTACTTAATTTTCACTATTTAATTGCTCTAAAATAATACGATTGTGCAATCACCCTGGAGGCATCCTTGATCTGTCTTACTGTTGTGAATTTGTCATACTAGCTTTTCCCCTGTAACACTGAAATAGCAGTTTGAAATGCCTTTATTTTAAAGGGTGGAAAGGAAGAGAAAAGCATTAAACTGTAACCAATAGCTTTAAAATGAAAGGGCCAGGAATGACAAACATTTGTGGTTCCTCTGGTCCTCAATTTGCTGCACCCATAAACAAAAGATCCTGCATGCATAGCTGTACACAATTAAACTGAGGTGAAATTATTTTACAGCAAGCTGGCAAACTGCTTAATGAGATTATATGGTTGTGTGCCAGTTCTTTCAAAACTTATCTTCCTATGGAATTTGGGTGGGACACCTATATGTGAAGAGTTGAGTGTTGCTGTTATATACTAAGACTTCTGAAATGTTATTTGTTTAGACCCTTGCTGGATTACAGAAGCTACAACATAAATATGGATTAAATAAAGTTATAGTTAGGCATTAAGAGTATTTTTATCAATGTGTCAGGATACAAAAAAGTTCTTATTACAAAATAAGAAAAAAGTATCCTGTGCAATGATCTTCTGTTTGTAAAGTTTAGGAGTATAAAATGACATAATTGCCAAGAAAAGCTGAAATGTAGGTGATTCCAGAAAAATCAAGTCAGACACAAGCAAACCTACGCTTACATGTGTGTTTCTGTTTTACCAAAATATGACTTAAATTTTTTAATTTTAACTGTGGGGTTCTGAAACATAGCAGCACAGGCTGAGAAGTCTCCATCCTTGATAATACTCAAAACCTGACTCAATGTGGTTCTGGGCAATCTTCTCTAGGTGGTCCTGCTCTGAGTGGGGGGATGGATAAGGTGGTCTGCAGAGGTCCTTTCCAAACCCAACAGCCTGTAATGCTGTGCATGCTTCAAGCAGAGAATTACAAACCTGCTTGCATGAAAAGACCATGCATAAATGGTGTTTTTCCACATACCTATCTACTGTGTAGAAATACAAATTGGTAAAGAATACATAACAAGTTTCAAGCAGCTTTCTTGCATCCTGTGCTTATAATGTTCTTAGGGTAAAAATGTTATTGGTCGTAGCTTAAGGTGTAAAAGGAGGATGAATTGTACTTCTAATATCTAGCTCAATATCCTGATATACTTATAAGGATTGACAGAAATATATTAATTAGTTAAGGAAGAAGTCCTTTTGCAAAGCAATTCTGAGAGGTGCTGTTACACTTGATAACGAGTGTTCTAACTTGTATTTTGAAAAGTGAATAGCAGTTCCTCCCAGATGGAGATTTGAGCTTTCATTATTGTACTATTAATTTTAAACATTTACAGCTAATAGGAAGCATAACAAGGCTAACCTCAGAAAGATAACAAGTGGAAAGGGGTAATAGGGAAAGAAAAGCTCTTCAACTTCATTATCTCGCTTTTGGTAATTATAATTACAGTCAAATTAGCTGGGTTTCCTCATTGTATGGTATGTTCCTGATTTATATTCATTGAAGACTTCATTACTATTCACACCCTTATACAAAATGGAATTGCAACTATAGTCTTTTTTTTTTTTTAATGTAATCCAGGAATAGAACAGCATAGAGCAGTTTAGATGGAAAGGACCTTCAAAGATCAAATCCACCTGCCTGATCACTTGAGGGCTAAGCAAAAGTTAAAGCCTGTTTGTTATTAAGGGCATTATCCAAGTGCCTTTCACTCACTGACAGGCAAAAAGCATGAACCACCTCAATGTTTCTGTGTTTGACTGTACTCATGGTAAATGAATTTCTTGTAATGTCCAGTCTCAACTTCCTCTGGTGCAACTCTGTGGTATTCCTGTGTATCCTAACACCCTAGGTGGGTGGTCAACAGTAGACATTCATGACAATTTCCAGTTATACAAGCGACAAGGATCATATTTATATTTAAATGAAACTCCACAATTTCTATCAATGCTAGCAAGAGAACTGCTTTCAACTAATTGCCTACAAGATGGCTTCAGATGCATATTAATAAGTTTGGATGTTAACTGTAAGAATAGAGAGGTGTTATTTCTTAGAAACTAAACCACTCAGAGATAAAACACTACCCTAGAGCTCTTGTAACACAGATAAAAATGAAACTGAAAGCTAGTTTCATATAGCTTGTAAGGTGCTAGGACTCAGTGCTCACCCAGGGAGAGCACACAGATACAGCTCAGAGCAAATCTCACCAATCTACATAAAGATTTCACTTGGACTGCTGAAATCAATTAAGCATCCCATCCGGGATTCTTCTCAAGCCTCAGTAAATCAAATATTACTATAAAAGAAAATACACGCTTATTTTAAAAAGGCTTTGCAACAATAAAAGCTGAAATACTTTGAATTCTTTAAATCTTTATATAACTGATTGTATCTGTAAAATACAGATGTTGTTAATCCTCAATTTTGTGATTTGTAAAATAGATGAAGTAGAGATGAATACAGAATACTGAAGCAGAGTTCAAGTCCCCTGCTCTACCGAGCCTCTGTCCAGAGGTTAGGAAAAGGGTAGGGCAGAAGAAGAGAGATGGGGAATAATAAAATCATCAAATCTGATAGCTTAATTGGGTTCAAACCATGTTTTGTTAAATTCTCCTAGTTAAGATATTGAGGTATTTGCACAATAGAACTTGATTCTACACCTCCAGAATCTGCAATATACTGGTATTTAGTAGATGAGTGCTATCAGGACAAAAAAGCAAACAATGTTTCTCAGTCCCATGTGGTATGAAGTGAGCTCCGCTAGCCAAGCGACTAAAGCTCTCCCTACAATAAGTGTGAACTGAGCTTTTAACCTACCATTAATCTAAAGGTACAGAGGAATGAACCTGTTACTAATGACAATGTTTGTCTCAAACATTTTGAAGGTTTTGAATTCTTTATACAGGATGGGAGAGCTCTTAAACTCTCATCACATTACAAGACCCAAAATAGTTTTACGTAATGAAATTTGGCATATATCCACTATCTATTTAGAACATCCATATTACTTTGCTAATATGTGCTGCTGTTCTTCATTGTGCTGCAAAAAATTCTTGATACAAAGGAAAAAGACAAGACAAAGACAACTGAAAACTGTCTACTGTTGTTTGATGCTGGGAACGTATGAGGTTAATTGCAAAGGAGAAGATGGATAAAGGCATCTTTGAGTAGACCACGCTACTGGCATTTCTAAAATGCTTGTGCAATCTGATATTGAAAGTATGAATTGCTTTTAAGTATGAAAAAATAAAAAGTTTCCTAAAGGGAAATGTGAACTTTCTTCAGGATGTTATTTGATCATAAAGGCAACATAAGATTGTATTATGGGAAAAAAAAAAAAATTAAACAGCTTTTCTCACTGGACTGCAAGCAGGACAATAACTTCTCAGTTACAAACTCCACTCCAAGACCTTATGCAATGTAATATTTTCCAGGGAAATTCTTCTTATGCTGTAATAAACAAAGAAACTTCCACAAACTGTGGAAAACAGTTTAGCAGCAAAAATACTATGAATGACAAAACTAGAGATTACTGAGGTTTGAGGGACTGAAGCAGAAGCCAAAGAAGCTGGCTCCCCAGGTGTAACACCTCCTTTCTGAGCTTGGTCACAGTGATCAGACCTTGCTTGGAGGAGGAGAACACAAAGTTTATTTAAAAATGACCTAACAAAACCAACATAGTACTGTACAAACAAATAAAAAGTTTGCTGATATGAAGGTATGTGATACTGTCTACACATCCATCTTTTAACTACTACTGTGCAAAGAAACTGGCTTATTTCACAAGAGGGCTTGGCAATGAAAAACATCCATTTGAGACAGAATAAAACAGGGTTGTCTACACAGGAATGTTTTGTCTCCAGTGAAGGAATCATTTCTAGGAACCACAAAAGAAAACAAGAGCAGAGACTAAGAATATTAACATACTATGCAAAGAAATAAGTAAATCAGAAATCCTCCCACACTATATTTTAAAAGGAAATATTTGTAAATAATTAAAAAAAAATCCTCTACAAGAAACTATATGCCAGTCACATAAACAATTTTTTTTTAAACAATACTCAAATATCTCTTTGGCTCTGATACAGCAAGGAAACTTGAACGTTTACACCTCTGAAAAGCCACTGTAGTCCCTAAATCTTTCTTTTCATCTCCTCCCTAAAGAGCATTCTATGTCAAGACAAAGTAACAAAGTTTCAAGCCTTAGGTGAAAAGAATTTCAATTCCGATCGTACTGATACAGTAAAAGAACAACAAAATGCCAAATAACACATTTTGTCTAATGCTCTCCCAGTGCATTTCCAAAACTGAAATAGGTTCATATTTACCTACTTCTGTTTTATGCACATTGTAATGTATTACAAGTGTCCATTTTAAATATTCTCATGCAGGAATTTTCTGGCTAAAGTATTTCCTGCCAAAGTATTTCAGTATTATATTTGGGTAGCCAAGAAGGTTTACTAAGTACTATTTGAAATTAACGTTGTTGATCTCACCAAGCCCTGGTTTTAGACTGTACAAAAATAAAAACAAAGGCAAGTTGTCTGTTTCAGGTTATGCTTGCATTGCAAATGCTGCAACATATTTTAAATGAACACATTTTACAATTTTCCAGCTCTTACAAAAGTCAATCTACACTGCTTAATATTTGCAGAATTTGATGTCTTACCAGGAACTGATGGATGCACGGCAAAAGCACTATATCTGCCAAGGTAAAATAAAGCCCCTCTGCAAAAACGTGGTCTAAAGGTGGAAGGTCAGACGTTTTTGTTCTCCTGATGAGAGGGGCTTCTCTGTTGACTGCACGTGATACCTCTTGGACATGCAGCTTAGAGAAAGCTACACTCAGTTCCAAACTTGGAAGTGGGTGTTCATGCACCTCTACTGTTTTCCCTTCCTCTGCTGCAGCCTTGGCACCTGCCTTCTGTTGTTGAAGCTTTTGCCTTCGAATTTTGTCATCGTTATGCACTCGGACAGGCTCTCCAAGTTTTCTTTCAAGCTGTAAAATGTCAGCAGGAATAGTCTGACTGTGCTCAGGAGATGCCGTCAAAAATCCTTCAACAGCCAGAGGTATGCTGATCTCACAGAGTCTGGTCCATTGGCTAACCTGTCAAATAAATTTATCTAATAAATACAACAAGAAATAAAATCCAAGCTACCTTTTTGTCTACTTTAAACAAGGAAACTTCAGCCAAAGTTAGCAACTCCAGCTTCAAATACATCCTCTGATAATCTTAGGAGCCCAAATATTCTGTATTACTTCTGCGATAGCTGAGTTAAGAAGCAAAATGTTATATATATAACAGGATGAAGTGTTATCCAGTACAGTATGTTTTTACTTCCCTTCACTGGCATAAGATGAGGCTGGCTGTGTAACTCATGAGAAGCATCCAGTTTACAGAAATGCTTTGGATTAGTTCTCTTATTTTTTTTCTTAGCATCCAACATTAAGAAACTTTAGTGTAACCAAACAATAAGTTTAAACAATTTTTTCATGTTATTCTCGTTCTCTATTATTTACTTTAGGCTGCGATCCCAAATCAACTGCAGTCTCCTACTATGTCTTCCCCAAGAATGCTTCTGAATCACAGATACAGTCAGCACAGCATGCCAGTACTGTACATTAAACTCAATATTCAATAAGCATTAATTTATTTTTAAATAATAGTTGTCAAAATCTTTAGTTTGCTTTTTCTAGCTTTTCCCAAACATCATGCATTTAAATCTAATTTCCCTTATTCTCTGAGGAAACACAGTATTGACAAAGGTGCACATTGTAAAAGCTGTAATTACCATCATTCAGAATTAGTTAATAAAAATACATTATATTAGTTTACCAAGAAACATTTTCCAGGGATAATTTCATTTCTTTGGACAACCATTTATAATGCCCAAATCATTCCAGTAAAACTTCATTTGGTCTTCAGTTTAGGACCTCTGCTACACAGGAATTCATTTTTACTGGTTTCCTGGCAGACCAGTTACCTTTAATTAGCTAACTATCAGAGTGTACATTTCAAGTTCTGAATAATCTAAAGGCAAGTAATTAATTATCTATATGGATTGATTGAAGAAAAGCTTATATACGCGCAATGTCCCTTCATAAAGCAGTATCAGAAAGGGGATGAAGACAGGCAATAGTCAGCTGTGATATAATCTGAAATATGGTTATTCATAAGGTGTGAAGTAAGCATAAGAAGGCAAATATAGCAGTGACTAGTGTGAACAGGTTTACATTTGTAGGGCTGTGACAAAGGTCACGTCCTGGACAAAACTTTGAAAAGTGCTTTACTAGTTCAAATTCTCAAATGCCTACATTAATATTGATAATAACATGTAAGTACATTCAAAAATTCTATCGCAAACTTTGCAAGGTTACAACTTGATTCCTGTATTCTCCACAAAGCCAGCAGTGTCCCTCACTTATTTCTCATCGGATTTCACGTTCTTCAGATAAAATTTATCATGTGCAAAGTACGTAGGATTAGTTCCTAATGACATGCTCAAAGATCTTGTATTTGCTGCAACAGACACATCTATGACTTCACATAAAAACATCCCACCTTCAAATATTTGATTTCATCAGATAAAAAAAGTGGCATTCTGTGAAAAATTATCATTAAATTAGGTATTTTTTAATTAACTTAAAACTGGAATAGACACAGTACTAACTCACTGAGACTATATTGCCAAAATGAAGCAAATATCTGACCCAGTTTTTGAATTGTTAGGTACTTTTTGTGCCGCTGAAGTTATACCCTCAAAAAGAACAGTTTTTGCCTTATGATAAAATACAGACATTTCTCCATACAGTAAATATCAATATTAAGAGTTTACATCAGAGTATTCCATTCTTATTTAAAACCCTGTTAATATAACTAAGAGAAAGAGATGCACTCACTTCTGCACAGGCTTTTAAGCAGGTCTTCTTAAAGCCTAGGAGTTCCAAAACATTCTTTTTGGATGGATCTGCCTCGAATGTTTTCTGTATTATATGTCTTAAGACAACAGAAAGTCCAGCTCGACAGAACTTGCCATCTTTCGTGACAACAGCAGGTAAACAGCAGCTCTGCACGACCATAGGAAGCTGACATTTGGAGATTAAATGGACCTCAAGATCTCCAAGGAGGTTTTTTGTCACAAACTGATCATTTGCATTTTCATTAGTCGGCACTAAGAAAATTTTGAATGATTTGCAGTCACAGTAGGATAGCAAGAAGAGTGAAATAGACGTATGAAGAGGAAAGATACTATCTTGACACTGATGAGAAAAACCCAAATACAAATGTTCTTCAGGGACGCTATCTTTCATCTTCCTCCTGAGCTGAAGTTCCTGAAATAGAAATTAGAATACAACAGTCATAAAAGAACACAGAATTGAGAACAAAACAGAGGGTTTGAAACAGCAGTTGTACCATTATCTGCTAAAACTGATTGTAAAATAAGATACTATTAAAGACATCCTGCCTGAGCAAGTAGACTGCGGGACTTTGAGAGGAAAATGTTTCACATATAGCCTCACACATCATTGACAAGGAATTGATTTCTGACACTAAGTAAACATATAAAAAGAAGAAAAGATTTTATTTTAAACTTTGAAGTGTTTAAACATTTTATAACAAAGCTCATTTTTAAATCAGTAACCTCCCATAATCATACATTCATCATACAATATTAAAAAGAATATGTTCCTGAGCACCTAAAACACTTTTATCATGCATACATTTGCATCTCTGTTAAAGCACACGCACACACAGAGACACTGTTTTAAAGTGAAATACAAGAGTGATGTAGCTGAAATTAATGTCATTATATTAAAATTTTTAATTAATTTTCCTTATACTTCGTTGAAAGTCTATTTTTTTTTTCATTAAGTCATTCCATACTAGTGTAATATAGAACAATAATGTAATAGCTTTTCAGTGCCACCACCACATAATGTTCCCTGTTAACTTAAAAATCACAATTCCTACTGAAAAGCATTGGGCACTAGATGGCACTCTTAAAACAATCATACAGAACAAAGCTTCATTACAATACAAGGAAGAACTCTGCTGCTCAGCTATGCAGTATGGTTATTTATATATAGTTTATATGCATATATGTAGAGCACAAGTGACACTGGGACAAAATCTTTCAAATAACTATCTAATAATGTCTCTATATAGTTATAGGGACATGATAGCAATACACAGCAAAAAGTTCTTACATTTCAGATATGGAGATGTACATCAAATGTACTGTTTTATATCATCTATCACTGGAACAGACCAATTGCTCAAAGACGGGCAACGGAAAAATAAAATCAAGCCCACTTGACATTAAATAAGAATCACAATGACTGTTACACAGAAATATTTTTCAATTGTTCTGTTACATGGCTGTCTCAAAACAAGAGTGCCTAATCATAAAAATCCTCTTGCTTTTCTTTAATTAACACAGCTTCCACTCAAAGAATAATAAAGTACACGAAAGTATGTAAAATACTTTCCTAAAAGCTATTTTGCTTGGATAAACATACAAATCATGATGGATACAATACCGTAACTACAACTGCGGAGAAAACAGTTTAGTGAAAGTAATTGAGGAGAAGATGAGAGAAGAGCTAGTCTTATCTGTTACATCCATATATTTAAACACTTAATCTCAAATCCTTTCCTACAGAACTTCTAGAAAGATGCAAAAATAGAGGTACAACTGATCAGCCCACTGATTAAAGATGTTCTGCTTTGAAAACTGGTAGATGAATGGGTTAATGCTGTCAGTGTGAATCTTACTCCAATCCACTGAACAAAATGACTTCTTCCCAGTAGCGATGAGTAATAGATAGCAACTGTCAGTCTGTCCCAGGGACAGCAACTGATTGGAAATAATGACTTGTTGGTTATTGGTCTGCTCTGTACTCAACCCCGTGAATGCCACAGCTGACACCATCCTATTAATCCATCTGTCTCCTTGGAGCTCAAAATTTAGCTTGAAATTTGGCCAGACAAATTCAACCATTCTTGTCCTCAGCTACAAAACTATTACATCCAGAAGCCACGCAAAGCACGTATGCCAACACTGCTGAATCTCCCTGAAGCAGGATAAATGCATACTCCAGTCTCTTAGCCCGCTTACCTTAACCCATAATGTAATACACTTGTATTGAGACTGTCTCCTTTATAGTCACTGAGGAACTTGCATCTAAATTCTAGAAAAGTCCAAACAAACACTTTAAACTGAACATCTTTTTTTTTTAAAGCTTTACCCATGGATGTTACGAGGGTTAAGATTTACTTGTCACTTTGTTCAGATTTGCTCTTCCCTCTACTTCTAACACTCACATTTAACTCTTCACTGCATTTTACCCACTTGAAAGTAGTGGCTTTTGAACATCACAGTGCTGAAGCACTGAGGATTGTACTTATCTAGGGAGGGAGAGTACTCCCTCTCAAAACAAGATAGGAATGTATAATGATTATACACTGCTTCCACTGACTCAAACTCTCCAAAGTTTGCACATGGAAGAGGTGTGAAGATGAGAAATAAGGAAGCAACAGCAATAAGCACTACCTTTGGTAACTTTCTAGTCTGTTTCAGCATGAGGTTTCCTGAAATAGATGGAAACAGCACGTAAAGTGATCCTCACCGATGTAATGAATACTTTGTTCTTATTCTATCATCATCACAGTCAAATCCTACCTATTCACCAACTTCAATGTACAGAAGAGCCACAGACATTTCATTCATACTATTTAACACACAGAGAATCACTCGAATTATTTTGTCATATTACTGTGTTTCTTTTTCTAACTTAGAAGATGAGCTGTCTCCAGAAAGAAACGTCAGGATTCTTTTTCCTGTGTAGTCTGTAGTATACCATGGGCATTTTATCACTAATTCTATTCCCAAACTTGCAGCTGGACTCATAAACATTGTATGAGCCCTTCCTTCCACTTTTCCAGATCCGTCCTACGTACAAATGACAACAGCCACCCTCATCTACCATCTATCTGTTCCTTAAAGCCCTAACTTCCTGCTTTTTCTCCAGTTACACTACATCCATTTTTTCACAGGAGAGATTTCAGATGGCCAAAAAGTAGCACTGAAGTTAACTTTGTTCACAGCTATGTAATTTCAAAAGCCAAATGACAATCTGAATAAGTCAAGTCTAGACTCGGTTTCATTGCAACCACAGAACTTGCAATGCATGGGGTAAACACAGAAGAAATATTAATCTTTTAGGAGCTTTTTATTACACTGTGGATAATAAAATGGCCTGAGCTCAACTGGTGCAGAAACATTTTGCAAGTCATCTTTCACCATTTTCTGACTTCTAAATGCAAGTATTACTTCCTACAAACTCCAAAAATTAATACTGAAAGTTCTTTTATTTTTCACAAAGTGATTAAACAGGCAGCATAATTTCTGAACTGTCACACAGCCTATGCAGCTGCCAAAAAACACGCCTCGCTTGCTAAAATAGAAATATTTTTTATTCATCTGTGAAATTAGAAGATTGAGACTAATTGAGAAATTTCTCTCGGTCTTACTAGGCATCACAGACCTCTTTATCACACACACACACAAAAAGATCATTCACTGACTACTCCAAACACTTATCTAGGAAATTGTCTTCCCCGGCCTCAGACAGTGAACAATGACACACCACCTGCTTCTGAAATCCAGTCAGTGGAATAAGATTTGGCCCAACTGTATTCATATTAGTCTCTCACAGGACATAAAGCAAAATAAATCTATCTGGGACCTGTCTATAGATGACTTTTGTTTCCTTAAATTATTTCTTGTGAGAATATACTCAAGGCCTTTTTCTTTCACTTCAGAGAACTGTAGGCTCTCGCACTGCCACATCCCACTCCTCTCCCCTGTTTTGCTTTAGAGATTGCCTCCTGACAGCTTGTTTCCTTCTATGGAGATATTCAAGATCCGTCTGGACGCCAATCTGTGCAGTCTATTGTAGAAAACCTGCTCAGCGGGGCATTGGACTCGATGATCTTTTGAGACCTCCTCCAACCCCCGCTGTTCTGTCATAATAAAATAAAGAATGGAACTAACAAAACCCTTGAGACATGACATTGTGCACCCGTTTAATTATAACACTTTTTTTTTTTTCCTGGCATTTGTCCTTTTCTGATTAGCCTGCATTCTGTGAGACGGATTTCTGTCCTTATACTGGCCTTTTTAATAGTAGCCACTATTAAAAGGGAAGGCAGAAATCAGCTGAACATAAAAAATGAATATCACAGGTTTTGCAACACAGCTTGAAGATAAATAACACGGTTTGCTTTCAGTTTTACAGTCAGCTTGGCTAACATCTTAGTTAGCATCTGAGATACGCTGCTCACCGCAAGTCACCTAAAAAGACAGGTGCCCCCAGGAATTATTTCACTTTGCACTACGTTAATATTTATGCTCTATGGGAGACAACTGTGGGAAGCCGAGCTATATTTCCAGCCGGACGATCAACGCGTTGCGGGAGCTTAGGGCCACCGCACCCTTCAGCGCATCCAAAGGACTGTGCCTTCCCGCCACCAGCGCGGGTCTCCGTCGGCAAACACCTCAAGCACGCGCTTCAGGAACGGGGCAACCGGCGGGAAGAGAGCCCGCGCGGGGAAGCAGCGGCGAGGCGCGAACTCCCAAGGCCGCCGAGCCCGCGCGCTGCCTCACGCACCTCCCGCCCCGCCCACCGCCGCGCGAGCCGATAAACGGCCCCCGGTCGCCACCAGCGCCGATCTGTCGGGGTCCGCCTCTCCCTCGGCCGCTCCCCGCCGCTTACCCGGCCCCGCGCACGATACGTCGCCGCCGCTTCCGCCCCGGATCCGCCTCTCTCCGTGTGCCCATGCGCGTCCCGCCCGGCTCCGCCTCACCCGCGCCGCGCTCCGCCCTCCCGCCTGCGGAGCGAGGCGGAACGGCCGCTGGGTACCGGCTGAGGGCTCTGAGCGGCGGCGGCGGCTGCCGTCTCCTCCCCTCAGGTGAGAGCGCGGCGGGAGCTTCGGGGCCTTCGCGGTGTCGTCCCCGGCCCTGAGGGCGGGCGTTGAGCTCCCCGGAGGTGCGGGCGTGTCCTCCTACGGCGGAGATATGGAAGCGGCCGTCCCTGCTCGCTGAGCGGGGCCGGCGGTAACGCGCGTGGCTGAACTCGCTGAGCCCGCCCGCTGCAGCTGCCCGGCCCCGCACGGTGGGTGCCGGCGGGCGGCCCGGGGTGGGTAGGTTTGAGGTGGTAATGCAGGAGTGGGGCTCAGTTAAACAGGCAGCTCGTGGCGGTACGAGGAGGAGGTAGGCGGGGGCTGTGAGTGGCGACGGGCTGCAGAGGGGGGTGTATAAGCGTTCCCCGGGCGCGCGAGGGTTGTGGTAGCAAAGTGAAAGGCGAGCTAGGTTGAAAACGAGGAGGAAACGGCGACGGCAGCGGGATGCTTCTGCTGGGGTATCAGGAACAGAATGCACAACTTAAACGTGGAGCAGCTGCTGAGTGGGGCGAGTGCTATATTCTCAGCGAGCACGAGTGAGGGCAGATACTCAGTGTGCTGTGGTTTAACCTAGCAGGCACTGCACGGCCTCTCATGTGTTCCTCCTCTTCTCAGTGGGATGGGGAAGAGAATCAGAAAAAAGTGGTTTTGTCCCCTTCTAGCTCTGTGTGCCTCCTTCGCCTTCTCTCTGGTGGGGCAGTGTAAGAGTTCTCTTCAGTAAGACAACTCTTACACTGAAGAGTTCTCTTCAGTAAGAGAAAACTGAAACACTCTTGGCACTGTACAGCATTACTCAGCAACAAATAGAAACATCAGTGTGTTATCAACATTGTTTTTCTCCTAGCATCATATCAGGTACTGTGAAGGAAAATAACTGTTCCCATTGAATCTAAGACAATCTGCTTTGCCGCAGGGCTCATCAGTGAGCCTTCTTTCCACAACAAGGAGAAGTTGCAGAAGAGGACTGAAGCATGGGTTGGTTGCCTGGTAGTCCAGGGCCTGGATGAACTGTGTTCTCGTGGTATCATTGTGAAGCCGCTCGCTTTTCTCTATGAGAAGTCATGAGGCTGAGAGAAATCACCAGGGAGTAGAAAAAGGCAGGTCATATGTCCCTTTTCAAAAAGGGGCAAGCAGGACAGTCCAGGGAAGCACAGGCTGGTCAGTCTCCCTCCTTCAATCCATAGGAAAGTTATGAAGGAAGCCACCGTAGTATGAGGAGGAGCAGGTGTTGGCTGGGGATAACCAGCTTGGGATCTACCAAGAATCAGTCATGTCTGGTCAACTGGATTGTCCTCTGGCAAAATAACTAGCTCTGAAGTTGGGGGGAGGAGTGGAGAATATCATCTGAGGACGGGCTTGCAGGGACCTAAATAGAAGCCTTTCTGTACCTAAGAGGAGATTGATAAAATGGAGCCTGTATTTCCTTTCATGTGAAAGCATAAACTGAAACAGGTGAGGTGCCAATTTGAATTAAAGAAGTGAAAGGAGGCAGTGAGATCCCTGTCACCAGCTGGATGGTGTCCTGGGAAAGCTTGTCTGAATTTGTGGCTGACTTTTGCTTTGAGCAGGTCTCTTAGAAACAAAATGCTTGTGTATTGTGGTGTAATGCAGCAGGCAGCTCAGCACCACGCAGCTGCTCACTCACTCTCTACGTGTTAGGTGGGCATAAAATCAGAAATGTGAAAGTGTGAGAACTCGTTGTTTATGATTAAGATGGCTTAATAGGTAAAGCAAAATCTGTATGCGCAAACAGAACAAGAAATTCCTTTGCTGCTTCCCATTGGCAGGCAGATGTTAGTCACTTCCAGGAAAGCAGAAGTCATCACATGTAACAGTTTCTTGAGAAGACAAACACGGTCTCTTGGAATGTCATCCCCTCTTCCTCCTTTTGTCTCCCAGTTTTTATTGCTGAGCAGGATACCAGATGGTATGGACCAGTCCTCTGCCTGGTCTAGGCCAGCAGTCCTGGTTCTATCCCCTCACAACTTCCAACCCCTCCTGGCAGGACAGCAACAGGAGCTGAAATGTCCTCAGCTCTGCACAACGCTGCTCAGCAACAACTAAAGCATCAGGGTGTTATCAGTACTGTTTTCATTTAAAAAAGAAAAATCAAAAGCACAGGATCTGTCAGCCTTCATGAAGAAAATTAACTATATCCCAGCCAAAACCATGATATTCTGTTTCTTTGAAAATATATTCTTTGAGTGGTAGAAAGCAGCAAATAGAACACAATAGTGTAACGTAGAAATGTTAGATAAGCAAGTTACTGTGATAGATTGAATTATTGATTGGAAATAATGGGATAAAATATGCTGAAGGATAGAATATAAAGTTATGGATACTCACGCTAGTAACTACAATGGAAGATTTTACTCAAATCTTCTGAAACTCTTTGAATTTCACATGAAGATGTCACATAAATAAGAACTGATGAATACAATTGTTCTGATTAATGCAGTTGTCGGGACTGCTAAAGTGCTTGAGTTTTGAAATATCCCTCATGGGAGGTACTGTGAAATTGTTGTCATGAATCAAATCCTCGTTATGATACTAAAGTAAAAACTGAAAATGGAAGTCAAGCTTTTTCTGCTTTCCTTGATCTATTTCATCAAGACTTGTGTTAAATCGGAGAGTGATCTGGAAAAGGCAGTATTGGTAAATGCACAAAATCTACCACTGTCACAGCTGTTAGATTTAGTCAGGAAAAAAGAATTCTCTTCCTGATGAGAGGAAAAAAAAGATGAATTGATATTATGGTGGTAAATTAAGTCAATAGTTAATAAACACAGTGTAGTGTGCTGAAAGGTATTTCGTGCTGCTGATCCATGCTTCTGGCTCTAAGTTAATTACTGCAGGTGTTGAAGATAGATGCAAAGGATATGTGGGTGAAAGTCCTCCTAATAATCCATGACAGTGGAAAAATATAACTATAGTTGAATTTACAACAAATGGATTTGATAATAGCGTTGCAATGTCAGTGTATAGGTATGCAAAATAGTAGCAGGCCACTCAATGGACAGTTGGCCTGTAGTACCCTGGGAAGAGTAGCTGTTAAGTTGAAAGACTGCATATTCTATATAGTGCTCGATTAATTCTGTGTAAGTTTTGGCAGAATAAAATAGTTTAGAAAAAGAATGATTCAGAAAAAAACTCTTAGACACTGTGAGATGAGCAGCCTATTAACTAACAATTTTCTTCATGTGGATATTTGAACTGTTTAGTGTAGAACGTGCTGGGAAGTTACTTAATGATTCTTCATCGTAGAAGGATTTCATATATAAATCACAAATACATCAGACAGTTTTGTTATCATCAATTTGGTGTTCTCTGTCCATCATTAAATACTTGGGAAACAATGAAGAACTATTGGAGAGCTAACTTAAGAAGGGTGCTTGTAGGGCTAGACTGATGTCTTTGTGCTCACTTGCAAGAGTGAACGTGTGTATTCTTGACCCCACTCTGCAACTTATCTGTGTGTTCTATCCACTTATGGCTGTAAGGAAAACCATTTCTACCTTGGATTCAAGGATTATATTACAGCTCTCCAATCTTGCAGCTGTGTCATTAAACCACTACACAAAGTGTCATATACTTTTTTCTTATATTTTTTCTACTTAATGTTTTATTTTCTATATGAAGTCCCTCCATGTAAGAAATTTCTTTTTGTTAATGTTTGCAGTATCCTGTGACATTATTACAATTTACCTTTGAGAGCAGAAAAAAACTGCCACAATTTCATGTGCAAATGAAAGACTAAGTATACAGAAAGCTTCTGAACATGTCTGAATTAAACAATTCCTTTCCAATAGTTGCCTTGAAAAAGCTAGAGCTCAAAATAAATTGGGGAAGTGTTATCTTCCAGAAGAGAGAAATGGATTTAGCAGGCTTACACTTGTTTTCTAAATTCTACAACGGTGCTGAATTGTTTGCTAAGGACTGTTGAAGCTATCTGTTCCTTATGTGCACATGTATATACACCCTGAAGATGCCTCAGAAAAGAACTTAAAGGGTTTCTGTTTCTTTGTTTTTAAGAGGGAATTAAGAATTATTCCAAATTCCTACAACTAGTGTCTTTGTTCTACTGTTTTTATACAATGGAGTGTGTAGCATTCTTAATTTAAGGCTATGTTGCACTGAAGCTTGGAAGCCAAATTCACAGAAAAAGAAATGGTAACTTAACCACAGAGCTCAAGAGCAGCCGGAATTTTTGATGTAGATAAATGCATTTATGTATAAAATATGTGGATACGTACTTTCCACACACATCAAATTCCCTTTCTGTAAACATTAGGGAGGGTCTGAATTGTCTGGATGGGGCTCACACTGTAGTAGTCTGCATGATCAGCAGTGAGGCAGTTCCTGCTGTATATAGTACTTGGTAGAACAAGTTCTGTGGCCACTGGAAAATGATTTAACAAGTGGATTAAGGAATAGGGAACGAGCTCTTGAAGAGATTTCTTAACTCTCTGCTGGTTCCATTGATGAAATCCCTATGAAGTCTACTGTATGTTGAACTCCTTGATGATCTCAGTAGAGCGATTCTCTGGTGTCTCGTGAAAGCCCAGCATGAGATAAAGGTTCCTGGAGACTTCTAGGCAGGCATTGAGGGAGCAGACTGCTGCTGCTGGTATATGGTCAGAGAGGTAAAAGTTCATTGCCTTGAATAACAAAAGAAATTCTTCAGACAAAATGTTGGAGGCTTCAGCCTTAAAAAAAAAAAAATTGTCCCAGTAGTGCTTTTGAGCAGAATTTATGAAAACACTTCTAGATCACTGTATAAGAAAATATCCTGATATGTTTTAAATGAGATTTGTTTATTTTCCATTTTGGATAAGAACAGAAAACTTCCCATGTTTGGATTTTTTTCTCAAATTTATTGTTGTTAATAATTAAATAAGAGCAGAATTTCTGATGCAACTTTTGTTAAAGAAATTAGCAATGAAGGCTCTGGAGTGCAGGTAACTACTGCTATGCAACTTTTGGTTGTTTTTTTTAATTCATTCTTTGCTTTTCCTCACTTCATTTCCATAGGCACTGTGGTATCTTAGAGCTCTGGACAGATACTTGTTGAGAAAACAAGTGAACTTGGATAAATAGCGATCCAAGTTGTAGTTATTTCTCACTATTTCAACTAGATTTAAAAATCAACAATGTACTTTTACAGAAGAAAAAAAATTGTGTACTTGCTGTGTTGTATCTCTGTATTTACATTGCAGGGAGCTATTCTCAGAATTATCAAAAGTGAGTTTTCTGATCATATTTTTCTTTGCTCTTAAATGATCGATGTGTTAAAAATCATGTGCAAATCTAAACAAGGATAAGGGTGGTAGGTGCTCTTGTTGAAGTTTACACTTAATTGCATTTATATTCTATATTGCCAGATTATCAAGAATATGAAATACTTGTTGCATTTACATAAGAATGACAAGTTTAATTTCTGAACACAGATGTCCAAAGAACAGAGATGATTTCTCTTCAGATGTGAAGCCAAATTGAAGTTTTTCAACTCTTTAAGTTCATGGTCATTTTCTAATGATAATTCACTTACTACCTTTGCTGTGATTCAGTGTAACTCTATTTTACAAAAAATATTTTGCAATCTAGTTAACTACATGCTGTTTGACTTAGGCTTCATATATATAAAGTTCTTCCTTTTTGTTTGTCTTCCTACAAAGACACCACTATGGCTGCTGCGGTGAACATGGAGCTCGATCCTATTTTTCTGAAAGCCCTGGGCTTCTTGCGTTCCAAGAGCAAGGATTCTGCAGAAAAGTTGAAAGCACTTCTTGATGAGTCTTTGGCCAGAGGAGCTGATTCAAGTTATCGTCCATCTCAGAAGGTATTAGTATTAGATAACACAGGCCATTTTCACACGCCTTTATGGCCCCAACTATCCCTTGTTTGTTTTTATAACTGAAGATTTAGAAGAGAATTAGAAACTGGAAAAATTATGAGTAATTATGAAATGTTCAAATTCACCATTTCCCATTTTTTTTTTGCAAAATAGTGCATTCAGGTAAGTTAATGGGGGGGAAAAAAAGTCCTGACATATCCAAACATGTGTAATACCTTTCCTTACTATATTGCAAATGAAAGATTTTTTTTAATGGTACTTCTTGTATTTTATGTTGGTTTTGGCATTCTGCTTAGTAACTACCACAAAAAGGGGAACCAAAATTACACAGTTATAAACAAAGATGAAAAGCTCTTCAAAATGCAGATATTCTTGTGACTAGATAATTATTTAAAAAAAAGCTAATTACTGATATAAGGGAACTGTTGTGTCATGGCCTGATCTGATGATCGATCACCTGGTGAAGGGGGATGGCTGGCCTAGGAAGCATAGGTGCAAGCAGTTCAGGTCCACGCCTACCTGAGCTCATTTAAGAGCTAGCCTCCAATAGGAGAATGCCTCCTGGATGAGGACCACTTCTGAGAGGGAGTGTTCTGTAGGCAGAGACCCTATCACCAGTTAGGTGAGTCAACTTTTTCCTATATATGGTTATTGATATTCATAATGACACTTTGGCTGCTATTGCAAAGAACTTATCAGAAGCAATTTCACTGCTTTCAAGGACTAACAACTGATAAAATTGGATCTCTTCTCAATATGGTTGAAATTATAGAGGGGGGAAATAATATTCCAAATGGTTTGAAACATAAATGATTTGCAGGCGAAAATGATCACTATCCCATAGAAATATGTAACTTTTTTTTCTGGAAATAACTAACTACCTGCTAGACAGAGTATTCGAATCTGAGATTAGCATATGAAAAAAACCATGTGGGTACATCCTAGTATCACTATGTATTGCCATATAATTAAGGAGGTAGTTTTTCCCCATAGGATGTTGACAAGTCAGCCAAGTATGTTCTAATGATGGTCTGTGTTCACACACACTGACGTTTTTCTTCTTCAGGTACATAAAATATCAGAAGACATTATTACTCTTGTGGCATACATGATGCTTGTAGAGTCTAATTCTTCTCTGTGGAAATGTTAGCTTCCTGAAACCTAAATTACTGCTGTACACCTCTGTAGTAATGCAGGTGTTATGACTTTCAGGAGCTTTCTGTCAGAACTGAATAATATCACAGAGAGGCTTGAAAAGCTGATTGCAGTAGCAGCTTGGCTGGTTGTCACTGTCTACATGCAACAGGAAATCAAGAAAATTGGAGGGGCTGAAGTGAAGCTCGGCACTCATCTCACTATGCAGCAGAGAATTACTCACTTATTATCAAGTTGGAGGGATACCTTTCTCATATGCATTGCTATGGTTGATCGCTCTTTTTTATTATACATTGCTGATGCTAATGCAACACTAATAAGAACTATCAGTTTCTGTTGATCTAAATTATTAAGCTCGTAGGTGAATATGAACTGAGATTGACTTTCCTCCATAAAGGAATGATATATTGATGTCCAGAGACAACATGTGTCTACTTATATTTTTAGCAGAAATCTTTTCCTTTGAAAGATTAGCATTAAGGGAGATTTTAATAACTGTAGTTTAAACACAGTTATTTGTGGATGTATTATAATAAGACTTAAGAAATGTTTAGAAGAATATATGTACAGGTGAACGGTGTTATGTGATGTTATGTTTGCCTAATCTGTGATCTAATTGCAAACACAAAGTAGATTGTGTAGGGTTTGACTTCAATTTTTGTTTCTGTTTTTAGGAAGTAGAGCAACCAAAAGTATGTGTTACCAAACCTGTTTCTAGTAAGCAAGATCCTAAAGCCTCTTCTAGTTTGCCTTCTGGTAACAACAATGGCAAGCCTACTGCATCAGAAAAGGTGAAAAAAGAAACAGAAAAGAGATCTGCTGATAAAGTGAGTCTAATTCTTGTTCTCTAGCGACATAACCTGGCTAATAAATTTGAAGATGTTTTAGTGAAAGTTCTCTTCCCTTGTAGTCTGTATAACTGTTGTTAATAGTGTGTAGCCTACAATCTGTCTTATCAAATCATGTTGTTGTTTAGACAATCCAGCAAAGGTCTAGTTAAAATTATTTTGTAAATACTTTAAATACACTGACAAGTTAATAAAATGTAGCAGCCTGAAATGTGGGTTTTTCCAAGGCTTTTTTGAGGTTCTTGTAGTGAAGCACAAAAGGTGGACTTGAGTTTCTAATTCATGAGTATTTTGGAAAAGATATATCAGGAAAATATGCTGTGTGTATGCTTCATATACACCTTTTTATACTTACATTTTGCTTGTTTCAGTCACTTTCTCATTTTAGGAAGTCCATCAGCTTTCTGCTTTTTCTTATTTTTTGTTTGCCATAGATAAAAGGGGATGCTGCTGAAGGAGCTGATGTGCCAAAGAAGCCCAGACTCGAGAAGCAAGAGGCTCGTTCCTCTCCAATTACGGTTCAGACAAGTAAAGATTTATCCATGCCTGATTTATCTAGCTTTGAGGAAACCAGTGCTGATGACTTTGCTATGGAAATGGGTTTGGCCTGTGTTGTTTGCAGGTAAATTAAGTGTTTCATTGCAGTCATGTATTTGGTTTTGGTTGGTTTTTGCCCATGTAGCATTCAAATAATGTTACCTTGCAGGTTGTATTCTGGAAATTACTTAAGTATGTATGCAAAACTACTAATGCATGTAAGCATTCTTCACAAACAAGATTTTTTTTTTAAATGGAGCTTTTAATGAGTAAAAATGATTTTTCTTTATAAAAGAGCAAGTGAGTATTAATAAAATTAGACAAAACAAAAAGGGTAGCGTAAGAGATACTGTCTTTTAAATATTAGAAGACAAGTTAAAATATTAATAGCTAATGTTAAGCAGCATTCTAAAAAGCAGTTCTGAGTACATTTTCTTTAGTGGCATTAGCGTGAGTTCTGCATGTGTTGTTCACTTCATAATCATTTGACATTGCTTTACACGTGACCATGTTTTTTCAATTAATTCTCTAAATATATCTTGTGTCCTGCAATCAAAACAGGCTTTTATTTTTCAGCAAGAGCTTCTAAAACTAGATCTTAGTAATATTTTGTTAATGATATATCTAATAGTGAAAGAATTAACAACATACTTTTGAATATCCACTATGTGATCAGATAATGTGAATAAGCATTGTATTTCACAGGTGATTTATATCCCTCTAAGTTCCTCTTGTTGCCTACTTCCATACCTCTGACAGGGGTGTCTTGTTTGTGTAAGTGTGTGATCAGATGAACTAGCCTCTGGATCAGCTCCCTGCTCAGGTTTTTCAGCAGATACAGGTTTCCGTCAGCTCAGTGTGTGTACTTATCCTCGTGTATGCATGGCTATGAGAACATAGGATCAGGACAGGGAGGAAGATGGAGCTGGCATTTACAGAACTGGCCAGACTCTTGGTAGAACTATTGTATTCTAGCTCAGCTTAAGCCACGTGGGAAAGTGTGTTCTCGAGGTGCCTCTGGATCATGGAGGAATTCCCATTATTACAGCTAATTATACTGTTAACCAATTGTAGAGCGGTGAGACTTCCTGTCATATTGTTCCCATGTGCTAACTCAGATGTTTAACTTTATAATAGACACTGAAAAAGGAAGAACAGTTCAAACACCTGAAGTAATAAATAAATCTTACCTTTCTTCCTGCAATACTGATTATAAAATAGGTCTTATTAAGGTGATGCTGGAGAGAAAAAAGCATTTAAAGAGGGAACTCATTAGAGAGGATGGTAGCAGTCTCCAAAGACTTGGTGTTTGTTTTTATTGTACATCAACACTGCTGGAACTGATGTCTTCTGATTCTCAGTTTCCAACTTAATCTGGATGGATTGTTTTTCAGATCACTTATGCTTCAGGCTTTCTAAATGCAGCATAGTTGTTAGGACTGCATTCCACTATTTACTGCTCAGCTGTCAATGTAAGGTCCCTTCCTGGGGCTGGCCATCTTGAGTTGAAATACTAACATTTCAGTACATATGAAATACAATAGCACTGGATACTTCTGTAAAGTAACATAGGTATGAATATCATTTGGAAGCTGACAGCTATTAATACTTAAATGCGGACAGTTGTGATTGAGAACACCATGTCCAGTTGCAAAGTATGTAGGTATTTTTTATAGTTCAGTGGTTTATATTGCTGAAAAAAAGTTGACAACTGTTATCAACTTGTGTACAGTGTGTTCACAAATGCTGAAAATTACATTTGTAGATTATTCCTTTTTTTATAGATGTAGAAACTAAAGACATAGAATGTTTCTTCAAGATTTGCTAAATGTGAGATGTGTCTGCACAATCATTAGGGATATTGAAATTTGATGGCTGTGGGTTGTTTAACTTAGATCCTGTTCTATTTCAAACTAGGCACAAAGAGAATACTGGAATAACCTCATCCTCTTCAGTACTTTTAGATCTTAGAAAGCCATGACTCAACGGATACAGGAATCCTTGGTCACGTGAAGAAGTAACATTATTTGCAATTTGCAGCTGATAGTAAACCCTGACAAAAAAATTAAAGCCCATTTTTTGAAAGAGTGACTTTTTCTAGGAGTACTTGTTTTCTGAAATTAAAAGATCATTAAGTTTGCTTTTCATTTATCAAATTGTTTAAAAATAAGACTAGTTTAACTTGATTCCGAGAATGCAAAGTTAAGTTTTTTTAAAATTAGTTTGCAATTGTCTTTAGAATTTTTGAAATAGAGTGAATCTTCTTGCTTGAGATATGGGGTTAAAGCATCACTGCTTCATTCTTACCCAGTTTATTTAGGAATAATAAACAAAATAGCTCTTGAAATTTCCTGCATCTCTAATGGGATGGTGGACTTCCAGAAATGTTTTCTTTTTTTTTCTGGTAGCCCATTTGAAAGAGAAATATTCCTTAGAAAATGTTCTAGTGTCTGTATGGACAATACTTTCAGACTACTTTTTCTTGTTACAGAGAAACAAGGTATTACCTTTTTGTACCCATCTACAAATAGTTTCCATGGTTACTTGGCTACCTGCTCCTCAGGCTTATGAGCAAAAGCAGCTTAGCAATTAAATAGCCTGATTCTTCATCTGAAAGAAGAAATCATCAGAAAACTGATATTTGGCTAATTTAGACATATTCACAGTCATGTGTGCATCACTAATTTGTCATTTATACAGCATGATTACTTTCACCGGAGACCCACAGCAGAATTAAGTCCTCATCACCAGCTTTGTACTTGCTTCAAGGCAGAGCTGCACAGTTAATCCTCTGTGTTCCATCTCTTCAAGATTCTGGCATTATCTCCAATTCCAAGTGTCTGTTTGCAGGGACTAGAAGGATAGCTAATAAAACATCAGTGAAGTAGTATAGAGTTGGGATGGTGATGCTTTTAAATTATTTAGAAGAAAGCACTCTTTCATACTAGTCAATGCAAAATTATTTGTTCTTGAACTGCAGTGCTCTACAGCTTACAGCAAAATTATCCAAACATAGGCTAGGCCTTTAGATGCTACTGTAATGAGAAATTGATAATAAGTAAACAGTGGTAAAATCTCTATTGGAAAAGACAGATGAGACTCAAATTTCTAACATAAAAATCAAACAGAAGAAGTGTCATGTAAGCATGTTTGATAATATTCAAGTTTTTTGATGTTAGTTCTCTGATGAAAATCTAACAATTTCAAGTTTCTAAAATATTAGGAAGAACTTAGGAAGAAAAATCAGTGTAGCTCATCTGCTACAGTTAGGAAATATTCACAAAAGCAAAAATATTTTTAGTCTTTATCTTAAGCTCTGCAAAATTTACAGCAGTTGGATAATCCTTGAAGTGCTTTTCCCAGTAATCTGTTCTTAACTATTTGCTCTGCAGGCAAATGACGGTTATTTCTGGGAATCAGCTTGTAGAGTGTCAGGAGTGCCATAATCTTTACCACCAGGATTGCCATAAACCTCAGGTGACAGACAAGGAAGTGAATGATCCTCGACTTGTATGGTACTGTGCCCGCTGTACCAGACAGATGAAGAGAATGGTAGGAGTCAGTTTTTTGTCTAGTTTGAGCACTATTGAAATGGAGCAGGTTATTTCTTATGTGTGAGAGTATTCTTTAAGTTGCAGAATTCTCTGGAAGAATGTTGGAGAACCATTTTTTCTCAGCTGTGCTTCACTTGCTGCAGCTGTGTTTTTTAATGTAGTATTGGGGAGTATTTGGGTATCTTCTTAAACTTTTATTAAAAAAGCAAAATTTGAGTGAAGTGTGAAACAGGACTCCTTCCCACTTGGTAAATAGTATTTCAAAGCATTTTTTATTTTAGGTGATACTGATTATTTTTTTAGTACATATTTACAAAATATCCCTACGATTTGATTTTCTTCATACGTGTAGATGTGAATGATTGTTTTTGTAACAAGAGAACAAATTTTGGCTCAAATCTTCAGTGCTGAAAGATAGAACATCCCCCCCCAAAATCCCCTTCATTTTGATTTGTCTGCAGGGTAACTTTTTGACTAAGCAGGGTAATTACTTCTGATCCTACAGAGATCCCTCTTGTCTCATCATGAGAAACAAACAAACACTGAAGAAAGTGTCTTTGTTTACATATCTCTACTTCTGATCTTCTTTTCAATCAAACCTCTTTATATAGCAGAAAATATGCTCTGTTTTGGAGCTGTTCTGTGGTAACTTAGTGAGTGGTTATCTATTGAAATGCCTCTGCTAATAAACAAGAGAAAGTCAATGTAAGATCTCTTCCTAGGAGTTATTACTCAGTGAAGTACATGGCTATTCTGATGATCATCAGAACATCGAACCTAGCAGAGTTCAATGCTTGAGGTCAGTTAACAGGATAGCCCATGCAGTGACTCAAACTTTCTCTTCAGTGAGCCCATTTCTAATTTTTTTGTTTCAGCATGAATTCTACCTTTTTTTTTACTGCAACTTTTTAGCAGACTTGTACAGTCTGCATCCCAATACTGTTGGATCATATCCACATTTTCCTCAAATTCAACTGTCTTTGCCTTTCTGTGATGGCCCAGTGCCTTCCTATTTCCTGAGTTTCAACATTGCGCCTGTCTCTGTGCTGAAATAGGAAGTTCTATTCAATATGGCTTTTTGGCTGGACTCCTTATCACCAGTACTGTATTTGACATGGCCTCCGCAACTGCAGCTTTTTACTACTTTATTTCTCAGACACTTTTCAACTTCAAATTGTAAAGGCTAGACTGCAATATGATAATGCTCACGCTTTAAAACAGTACTGTAGAAGCTCTAACTAGTTTTGTTTTTTTCTCCTCAGGCTCAGAAGACACAAAAACCACCTCAAAAACCAGCTCCAGCAGTGGTTTCAGTTGAACCAGCTGTGAAGGATCCATTGATCAAGAAATCTGAAATTAAATTGAAACCTGAGACCCAAACAACTTTTCTAGCATTCAAGAGAACAGAAGTGAAGGTAACATACTATAAATTTTCCAGAAAATAAGTTTACATTTCACTATTTTTTTTTTAGACACATTTTCTCACAAGCACAATAAATGAAAGTAGTCTGCTGTACTATTTATACTGAGTGGTAATATAGCGTAGTGGTTTTGCATTAGCATCATAAGAGTGGGGGGAACAGTTCTATTCAGTTGTAAATCCCTGAAGCATTCAGCTCTTGACTGTATTTTTATGTTAAAAAGGACAGAACAGAATTTACTCTGAGAACTTTTCTTAATAGTATTTTATACAAGCAGGATTTTATAAAGATTCTCAGAACACTATAAAAGATAATATTTATTCTCTGTGGCCAAGTAACATACATATATTTTGGTACTTAGGCTTCTACTCATGGCAGTGGGGAAATCCAGCTGATCCTGTAGGGTCTAATTTAGAAACATGAGACAACATATATCAGCTTCCTACTTATTTAATAAATGTTGCTTTATAATACATGTTGTGAGTTGGTTAGGATGATAAACCAGAAGCAGCATAATAAATGACAAAGAAGTCTAACAAACAGTGATGCTTACTGAAGGAAGTCACCTGTAACATAGAATCAAAGCAATTATTCATGTTCTCAGAGGTAAATTTGCAGTTGTGCTGCTTAGATGGAAACTGTTGTGAATGACACGATGGCTTTTGCTCAAGCACTTACACTTCTGAATAACTCTTCACCTTGGCCATAAACTGTTACAACTTTGGTTTTAATAAGTCAACATCTGTATTATCCCCAGCTGAAAACTGGGGTTTGGTTGAGGTTTGGGAACTGCAGCTGATGTGTATGGTGCTTTGCATTTAAGGGAAGCTTTGTCTGCAGAACACTTGTCTTTTGCACTGCCTGAATGGAAAGACTAGAGGAAAGAAGTCCAGTGGCTCAGTTTCTTTAAAACCGTTTCTGTGGAGTATAGGCTGCTAAGAACCAAGATGGGAAGAGGAAAGTTCTGATGCTTATACTTTAACCAGAAGAATGCAATACTTAGTTACTATGGAGCTGTTTTTATCTTTTGTATCTGTTATCTTGTCAAAAAATGACACCAGTTAATGGCAAGCAATAAAAGATACTGGCTTGCCTCCCTTGTTTATACTTCACAAATCTGCACTGTAGTTATTTGGGTAAAACCAGTGTTTAGAATTTATGGGGGAGATCTCAGTGCTATATAATAGCCTGTATAGGAAAAAAGGTATTGGTTTTATTTGGCTGGGAAATTTAAAGTTATCTGTGCCTGCATCCTTTTCCTGTTACTGCTTTTTTTTTAACTATAATGACCAGTGATTAAATATTGTCCACTGTGTGTTTCTGGATAAAGAACTAAAACAGAGGCTCAGTCTCATCCTGCTGTGATGCATTATACAAATAAATGCCGCTATAATAAGAATGATTTATTTATTTTAGCCCTCAGCAGCAGTTTCGGGGAACTCAGCCAGTACAAGTGTTTCCTCTTCAGCAACCACCAGTGGCCTTACAGGATGGGCTGCTTTTGCAGCCAGAAACTCCTCTGCCAATCCATCAACTGCCAAACTGGGATCAACAGCACAGAGCACCAGTGGGAAACCTGCAGCAGCTTCAAATAACCAGAAACCCGTGGGTCTGTCGGGGTTGGCAGCTTCCAAAACAGGACTAGGGTCAAAAATAGCTTCTGCTAACAATAGCACAAGCCCTGTTCAGCTGAAACCACCTCCACCTCTCACACTGGGAAAAACCACTCTTAGTCGTTCGGTAAGTAGCGACAATGTTAGCAAAGTAGGTCTTCCTAGTCCCAGCAGCACTGCGCCAAGCACCAGCAGTCAGGTGAGCAGTGGGAATGGCAACAGTGGGACTGCAGGTAACAGCGGGGGCAACGCAAGCAAAACCACAGCAGATGCTGGTAATCAGTCAGCTTCTCTGAAAGGCCCAACTTCACAGGAATCTCAGCTCAATGCAATGAAGAGGCTACAAATGGTCAAGAAGAAGGCTGCTCAGAAGAAACTCAAGAAGTAGTACAGCTGCTTGCTGATCTTGCTGATTGTGATCTGTAAAAGAGCAGCATTTATCTTTTAATTAAAGAAAATCCCTGAGTTACTGGACTGAACCAGTAATTAGGGAAGTCCCAAACCTATGCTTTCCAGAGGTAAATCTTAGGTAATCCTACTATTCCTTCTGACTTTATAAATCTGAAAACTCAATATGTTAGAAAAATATTCACTATTACATGCTGTTGGTTTTTAGCTCAAAGCAATGGAATGTGAAATTGTAAGCATTGGGAATTTTGGTGTATTTAAGAGAACAATTTGTGGATACAAATTGAACTTAAGCTGTCATCCTTCAGCATTGTGAATAAAAGTGTTATTCTGGGAAATTACTGCCACTTTCTTTCATTCAGGTTTCTGATCCTTAAAATGCTTTAGCTTTTACAAGTTGTTTGTGTTGGGCAGTTAATGGAGTTCTCTGCATGTTGCACAAGTCATATGAGAAGTGGCCTAACTTGGTTTTCTGCACTAAGAAGTTTCTTTGTCACTTTCTAGTTGTTCTCTGAGGGAAAAGAGTAGAAATGACCCCTAGACTGTGAAGAGTGGAAGAGAGCCAAAATGGTGTTTTCAATCTGTAAAGAACCTTAGGATTGTCCTGTTGTAATGTGAATGGATAATTGTCCACCACGTATTTAATTGAATGCGCAATCTCATTGAACTGTATTGTTTTGATGTGGAAGGAAAACTAGAAGAAAGTGAAGGGAATTATGTTACCTGTCAGGGTGTTGGCTCCCTCTGGTGCACCTGAAACAAAGTTTTGATCACCTAGGTACTCCATGCTGTGAGATTTAGAAGTATTGCATGCTAGCCATTTATGTATTTGCAAGTATCTAAAATAGCAATAGGAGCTATGTTGCATTGAAGTACATAAAAAATATTTCTAATAGCATAGACTTTAAAACACAGAAGATGATTCTGAGATCTGAATGTATTCCTTTAGTCTTCTGTGAAAATGAGCATACTTTGCTTTCTTAAAGAATAAGGAAAAAAATTTAAGCTCTGAATAGGAAGACTTTGTTATACTGAGTGTTCCACACACCTTTCATGGGAACTCCTGTATCTGTCTCTATTTTGTGGTGTTATTTAATGTCTCTCAAGAATTGGAGAAGGATTTTGAATCTTGCTGTCTATCATCAGCCTGCAGCAATCCCCTCTCCATTCTGTTGAGGGGAGCATCTCTAAACATGAAAATGTCTCAGTTTAGGAGGTACGTGAAAACTACAGCCTTTTATGTGTTTGAAATGTGGGATGAGCAAATCTGATACATGCAGCTACTTTCCTTCTTTTCCCCTCTCCGTTGTTCAGGTTTAAGCTAAGTTTTGTTATTGAATGTCTGAATAGCTTCATTTATTCAGGATTGCCTTAGCTACTTTGAGAATTTCTTTTCTGCTGCAATTAACATTTCTTGTGCAGTGAAAAGGGAAAAACTTTGTCTTTGTAGTGCATGCTTCTTCCAGGGCAATTTAAAAGTAAGTGACAGTACTAGGAGGGAGAATACAGAACCTTTATTGCCCATTTATTAGCTAATTGTTCTCACTCTCTAGCACAAAGGCTTTTAATGTTGTTATAGTAGGAAAAAATACTGCAATTAGAAGGCATATTTTCTTCTTAAATACTATTCTGAAAAATGTTGCTCATGTTATGAAGTAGAGCATTAAGCTAGATTTCCTTTAATGGTTGGAGTGCTACTATGTGAAGTATAAACTCTAATAGTATGATTTGCTCCCACAGGAAGGTTCTGTGTCTTGTGTCCAAATAAACAATTTTGTTTGGGAGTTCAGAAGCTTACGTATGAACCCGGTTTCATTTTAGGTACTACATATGGGATGAACAAAGGGAAAAAAACTGGTCTTTCTTAACTGTGGTAGCTAGCAGAATTTAATATAACCCTTGAGATCTAAAAACATGCTATGTTCTGTGCATCCCTGTCTTCTTTCTAGTAAGGCCAAGTCTAGCTGAAATTGTACGAACAGGTCAGTATTGACAGTGGAATTACCTGGTCACAGCCTGAAACAATGGCTGAGCACCAGGTGAGAAAGTGTGGCTAACTCAGGGAGCACAGGTGCAAACAATGCACCTGAGTGACTGAAAGGAGTGGAGCCTGGATCCACTTCTCACCTTCGTGTAAGGGTTTGTAGCACAAACCCTTGCACTCCTCTGGGGCTATTGGAAAGGGGTGAGCTATTGCTCCATAGTGCCTGTATCCCCACTAGAAGGCACTATCATCAACTTCTTTTGCCATACATTTAAGCAAAATTTGCAGTGGAGCTGCAGTTAATATCAAAATTTTTTTGTTTTAACTTTTCCAGCTTCTGAAATGAAATTTCAAGTCTCCTCCTGTTGGTATAAAAATGTCAGTTAAGATTGTGATTCTCTGAAGTATTATATCAATAAGGATTTATAACATGGACCTGGACTTTTAAATCAACAGTCTAGCTTGAATATGTAAGATAGGCACTGCTGGAAGCCAGAGTATATTGAAGGGAACAGTTGCTTTCTGCTTTGAAGTTAGTATGGAATTAACTGTATTTTCAGAAGAGGAATCTGTTCTATGACATTGTTCAACTGAATTTGAATTTGTAGTTGAAGAACCTAATGTAAGGCAGAAGGGAAAGAAGGCCTTCTGAATTTTGAAAATATATTTCATATTTAGGAAAAATATAACAGGAAAACAGTCCTGTGTTTTTTTATCCCTAAGCTAGATTGCTCTGTGATCTACTGTAAGTGTAGCTTCTTGACTTTTCTTACCCATTTTATAACTCAGTATAGAAATGTACTTCCATTTATATATGATGTTTTTCATAGATGCCCAAATCCTGAATTCCTTAGTGATGTGAGGCAATTTATTCTGTATGAATGCTTCTGGCTGGACTAGGGGGTGCTGGTAGTATCTGGGTCTAACATCTAAACAGCATCTAAAGATGCTGGCATCTAATGCACAGTTCTGTAATCTACTTCTGCAGCAGGCTTTTCTGTCACAAGTGGTAACAGAAAAAACTTTAGCAGTAAATAATGGTCACAACCATAGAAGTAGCAAGAAAAGAACAGGTCTAACATAATATTTGCAAACTTGAATGTATTTTGAAACTCATTGTATGTTATCAAGGTACTGAGCAAGTTTTAATATGTGAATAGAGAAGCTAAGATGTATTCTAAAAAGGCAGTGTATTATTTGATGCAACTGTCCATTTCCTCTGCTCTGCTAATTTTGCAGTGATGCTTTTTATAGCTGACAACAAGAGGCAGATCTTGGGTAGCATACATAGCTCTTGCTATTCCAGAAGCTCATGCTTCTGGAATAGGTCTTTTTTTGTATAATTTTTAAAAAGACAACAGCCTTAGAAAAATAATTTTTTATTATTGCAATAATTTAAAAAGATTACTTTCACCATTTCTGAACAAAGATGATTGTAGGAGGAGTTATAGTCACAAGCATTATGACTTTTCTTTTACAGTTCTAGTCCAGAGGTGGCATTTTTACAATCCAGCTTAAAATGACAGCAAAGGTATATTTTAACATTTGAAGGGCGTAATTACTCAATTAGAAGTCAGAAGGGAGGGTTCTTCATTGTGTTTTTGTTATGAAAAGGTAAATCCTCAGTTAAGGATTAAGAGGGAAGACAACACAGTTGTCAAAGATCAAATGAGAGACATTATGTTTGTTGGCTTGGATGTCTGTAGGGTTGCAGGTGACCAATGTCAACACTTTAAAAAAAAAAAAAAACATCCACAAAGGGAGAAACACTTCATTTTGAACAGACCCAGTCCTGGTAGTACGTGCTTACTATCATGATGGTTCAAGTAACTAAAATGCATGTTTGAGTACATGCAGGATTAAACTGCAGCTTTTTCCTGCTTCAGTCAAAATAATTAGTTTTGTCACTAATTAGAACAATAAAATTCTTAGAATACTGCAGCCTTCTAAACATTACTGAATCAGCTGTGAAAACATTACGCAGCTTTTAAGAATGTCTGGAGTCCTAACCTGACTCAGAACTTGTAATACTGAAAGCAGGACATTAACAAAAATGCATCTGAGCAAGTCTAATTTGAATTGTTGTAAATCTCCTTATTGTGTGAAGGCTTTAATTCAAAGAGCACTTCTTGGTTTTGCAATAATTGAAGTTGGATTTTTATTTCTTTTAAGCAAAAGAAAAGATTGAGACACCTGTAATACCAAATTTTAACATACAAGAGTTGGAATTTCTGAGGTGGCTAAATAAGCTAATCCACTGGAACACCCAGTGCTAACTATCAAGTGGGATTTCATAGTTTATTAGAATCCTTCTAGAAGTTCTGAAATCCCACATATTTAAAGAAACACTGTCACTGTTACTTCATCTTTCTTGTTACTTCAGGATCCCTACTGAACACTTTGGAAAGCGGTGTTTGAACTTGCTTAGAGACACCTTCACAGAGCCTGATTTTTCATGGAGAATGTACATAACACTCAAAATCAGAGCCTTCCGTATGTCTCAAGCTGAGTTCTGAGAACTGTTCCCCCTTACTTAATTTCCCTATCTGAAATATAAAACATTCCTTGACTTAATGCAGTCATGTAATCACTATTAAATACAATTAGTCATTTCTAAAACTCTTTCAACTACTGCAAAGTATAGAACATCTCCAAATAAAATATTCTGAAATGTAAGACATGATGAAATGCTTCTTGTGTACATCTTCCCCATAATCTTGATGTTTAAGTGTCAGTGCAGTGCAATCTCAGTAGAGTGAAATTTATAGTAATCCATAAAATTCCATCATCCAAGGTGATGCACCCCTCCCCTTCATCCCCCTCCTTCTCTTTATTTTCTTCATTTACTTAAATGTAAAGTTTTCTTTTGGAAAAAAAAAAAGCTTCATCCATGGATGATTTTTTTGCTTGCTATGAAACAGCAAAATGAAAGTGCAAGTTAAGCAACCTTGTACGTATCTGTTCTTACTGGTCATTGGATTGCAGTAGTTCAGAGTTTCATATCCTGATTCCTGAATATCCATCTCAGTGGACTTCACAAGTTTCTCTATCATATAACTTTAATCTGGCATAAATTTCAGGATCTCAGCTCTGTGATCTACCATGTATCTACTACATCTTCTGAGCAAAACTCTAACATTCTGTCTTTTCAGCAAAACAAAATACAAATATGGGGCTCCAAAGAAAATGAAAGTAGATCCATTTGTGCAGCAAAAACTATTGTTTGCATCAGCTATTCTAACTCTCTTGTCCTTTCTTTGCAGGCTGGCTATTTCTTGCTACTCTCTAGGTTTTGGATTGTTTTACCCTCATGCCCTGTGCTTCAGCTACAGGAAGTAGAAACTAACACAACAGCTATAGAACAATTTCTGTATATGCTCACCTTTGATCAGCAACACCCTCCTGTCCACCCCCCATCAATTTGTCATTTTATTGGTCAGTCAGTTATAAACAATTATGAAGCTGTACTGAAAATATCTACAAGGAGTTTCTTTCACTGTTTCAGGCTTAGACTCTTAGGTTGTTGATTTGTTTTCTTTTTGCAGTACTTAAGGTAAGAAGGTCCTCACTCATTCCTAGAGGACCAAGGCATTTCAGTCCTGTAATACATTTTTATAAACACACAGTTATTAATGATAGTAGTGAAGATGTATTGTTTGCCCACCAGTCTCTAGTGTAAGGTACCATCCTAAGCTCAGTAAGGGTCACTGCAGTCAGTGAAACTCAAAGTATTGCTTGAAAGTCACATCTTTCCTTGGGATTTTTTTTTTATTTCCTGTGCTCAATGAGGGTATGGTGTGAACAATTTTGTCATCTTAAAATAACCCTGACAGCTGCTAAAATACTTCAGCAGAATACAGGGCTTTTAACTCCAAGTTTTGCAAAGAGCAGATCAGCTCATCAGTATTTTCTTCACTGTTTAATGTTAAGATGCTTTCAGTATGAGAATGATTTTTTTTTTCTTTTTGGGAAGATAAATGTTGATACATCTTAAATCTTAGTGTATTCCCTTGATAGTATGATCTCTGTATCTGACCTAAAGAATCAGATAGGTAGTAAATATTCTTGGAATGGCACTGCTTGACTTTTTCTAAATCTTAATGAATTTCCTAAATCTAGTAACACAAGTTGTTTCACTACATGGATCTTACATTAAAAAGCAGCTAGTGTATAGAAAAGTCACTTTAAACCTGGGGCACGTTCATATTGCTACAGACTGTTTCTTACCTTAAAGTAGTTATGAAATTTATTTTCTTGAAGATAACCTCTTTTTTTCATGTTACCTGCTTCTTCCATTTTTTTTTCTTATTCCATTTCTACATTTAACTAAAAATACCTTCATCTCTGAGTCCAGCTACTGATACCAACGGCATCAATATGGTTTAAACTGAAATGCTTCTTAAAAAAAAGCAACCTTTTTTTCTTTTCCCACTCTAATAATCACCACTGAGAAAAAGATTCTTTACAAAAGTGGCTGGAGATAAAAATAGATAACCCAAAAGCTTGAGTCTGGAGATGTGGTTGTGTTCATCAAGGTAGGGATTTAAGAACAATTCAGTCTGAACTGCAAAATCCCTGAAGGCTGAATTTGTCTTTTTTCAAGGCTGGCTGCCTTCATCTTGAATATTGTTTGCTGAATGTTGTGGGGGGGAGGAGGAGGGGGAACGTCACTTCAGCTGTGAAGTGTACTTGTAGGTTGAATTCGGATGTAGGACATTCTGATAAAAGTGAAAATTATGGGGTAATAGAGAAAAGCAAGCCCTTTGGGGTGTTAAGCAGAACTGTCTTCCTGTTAAATGCTTCT